CTGTGTTCTGCTTCCTGCGCTGTGTTCTGCTTCCTGCGCTGTGTTCTGCTTCCTGTCCTGTTTTCTGCATCCCACCCTGTGCTCTTCTTCCTGTGCTGTGTTCTGCTTCCTCGCAGCTTCTCATGTAACACTCCCTAGTCACAGACCTCCCTTGGTGCCTCTCTCTCTGTCATCTGCCCTGATCTCTAAACTGAGGACACAAAGTAGTTTCACTGCAGCATTCTGAAGGTCACAGAGATATTTAATGTGTCATTTTTATGGGTCCTTTTTCCTGTTTGTTCTGTATGGGCCAAATTTACTCTGGCCTGCTTGTTCACATGTACAGGTTTCATGCTACGTTTCCAGAGCAGTTGGTTGTCCAGTTGTAACAGCCTCCAAAGAGACCCACCCATGGACCCAAGCCCCGCCTCCTACCTCATCACATGATGCAAAAGTTATCAGTCAATTCAGCTACGGTAACCTAGTTTACTAATGATGAGTTATGCCCCCAGTGAATTGTAGGGGCATATTACAGGGGTGCGGAAAATTAAAAGCTCATTTAAAATTTATGGGTGCTAGAGGTGGAAATTTCAGGTCCAGAGAGGAAAAATCCAGGACAAGATTTTGTTTCAGACAACCAGTTGAGTATAAAGAGTCACACTCACAGAGTACTGGTTGGATGAAACTGGTTACAGTGAACTGGTTGGATGAAATTAAATCTTGGTCTGGAATCTGTCGATGCTTTTTGAACATACATGCATATAATCCTGAGCCCTTTTCTCATGTATTTAAACAGATTCCACAGATCTGAGTGTTTTCACAGGGATGCTTTCGGGATGGTCAGTGAGCTGCACTTCTCTGGCCTCGAGGACATTCATAGTTCCATGTAATTAGGAATTAAATGGTAACAAGTTATTTCACTCAAAGAAGCTACACCTTTTCATATTAACCCCTGGGTATAAGCTTGATGTTGTGAGAAGGTGTTGTTGGGATGAAGCTCTTCTCAAAGGGAGCAGATCTCTACAGGGGTGTGGAACTAGGCAGATAGACACACCTCCATAATCTCAGCATGACAGAAACTGTCATATATATATACCTGTACATACATACATATATGAAGCCTCTCAGACTGATATTATTAAATCAGAGTTTGTGAAGGGTGCTTGATGGGCAGAGTGACCCATCCTTAGTCTGGGGGGATCCTGTGCCATCCTGTGCCACCTCGGACCATCCTGTGCCATCCTGTGCCACCTCGGACTATCCTGTGCCATCCTGTGCCACCTCGGACCATCCTGTGCCATTTGGGGGTGGGAGCACGATGGCATAATTAGGCCTGATTTCTCTGCACCCTGACCTGGGCTCTCTGGGAGAAGCCGTTAAACAGCAATTAGCCTGCTAACCAAAAAGTCGTTAAGCTCACAAGACTCTTGGAGCTTAGAAATATTTTTAGCTCTTTACTGGGCCACAGAGAAGTGGGCGTGGTCTCATCTTTCGCTGCGTCAGGTACTGTGCACCACGCCAATGACTGTGATCTATCAGCAGTCACCAGTAGGCCGTTACTGGGGGCAAGAACTTTGTGATCTCATGACATTGTTCATTGTAAATGTTGAGGGAAAATAAACGGAAATCCACTAAAATGTCTGAACACACCTGAGATGCTAATATCTGAAAGTCATCTAGAGACTTTAATAACATGTTTATTAAAGAGAATGTAAGCACAGACACTCCTCACCCCTCTGCAGGTCATGCTACAAATATTATTGACATTGCTTTGGCCCAAGTCAATGGCTATTACCCAGCATGCTCTGGGGGTGGATCCACAGGGAAGTACGGTTAGTGTTTCCTGGAGGTGGAGCTGTACATGAAGGTGTAGACACCCCTGAAACATAGACTGACTTCATCCCAGACCTTGTCCACATTTTCATTTCCTGTTTGGAACAGAGAATTGAAAATAGTGTGACTAAATTGTGTTTACTGCTTCATTCACAAGGTTTCTGTCTTAGATACTGACATTAAGGCAGAGAATGTGACACTAGTCATGGCAGCTTCAGCAGACTGAAGCTCTGCCTGGTGCAGGATTTGCGGTCCACACTAACTCACACACTCAGTCACTCACATGCATACTCTCACACTCACCATTACATGACCGCCTGTTGTGGCTTGATTCACAGGACAGCAAATTAGTGAATTGTAATTAGTAATTCCTCATTTCTCCCTGAGTTGCCTTCAAAACATTACCCATCACTGAGCAGTTGAGTGAGAGCCATGCATCAGACAGCGCAGTAGCATCCTTCCTGACATATAATCTGATCTCTGATAAACAGTCCAATTCAGCTCTGCTGTGCGCCCAGTCATGGGCATGACGCGACCAGTGATTTGACACAAATCTTCACGACACTGTAATTTGTCAAACTGACACTAATGTGACAGGGAAGCGTGTAGGATGGTCTGTTTCCCTTAAATCCAAAACCATCATTCCACACCTGCAGTCTTTCACACATTAATGTGATTAAAAACAAACACCCCCTCACTATTTCAGAGTGAAGGAGTATCCTTACATATCTCTAAAGGAGAGAGGGTCTCCATATGTCTAAAAAACAATTCCCATCAATACCATACTGTCCCACATGTTCCGAAAGCGCGGGACTAAATTCAGTCTGGTCTCATCCATGCTGGAGCAACCTGTTTAGAAGTTTAAGAGGCTTAATCATAATTATGCAAAAAACACAGCATTTCAATCTTAATTTGTTACTTTATTATTCCACACACAAAGTTATTAGCTTTTTTATTACAGTCTGAGCAAGACAGATTAAGAACATGTTAGTTTCTCAATATAAGAAACACAAGCCTAGTAAATCAGTGTAAGAGACAACAAGAGGGGAGGGTGAAGTTTTAAAAATCCCAATATTCCTTCTGTACCGGTTTCTGTGTTTTATCTGTACATGCTCACTAGGCTCTTAATAAAGTGTGTTTGTCCATCTGGCTTTGAAATGGCTGTAAAGCAATAACATTAATGCCTGAGAAATGTCTCATGAGCAGCGAGTCCCACTGAAGGAGACTCTGCCCCCAGCAATGCCTGTATATTTAATATGTCATTGAGTATCAGTGTTGGAGCTGTTTGAGCCCTTTGAGTTTAAAAGCAACAAGCATGGCTGGGGCATTGTTCTGAAAAATACACTCTTTGAAAAGTCAGCATTTGAATTTTATGACTGATCAGTTTAGAGTGTGTCTGACTCTTGTCGTTCTCCAGGATGCTTCTACGAGTATACATAACTGCAGCCTTATTTGTGTGTCTGACTCTTCTCGTTCTCCAGGATGCTTCTACGAGTATACGTAACTGCAGTCTTATTTGTGTGTCTGACCCTTCTCGTTCTCCAGGATGCTTCTATGAGTATACGTCACTGCAGCCTTATTTGTGTGTCTGACTCTTCTCGTTCTCCAGGATGCTTCTACAAGTATACGTCACTGCAGCCTTATTTGTGTGTCTGTTTTCTAATTAAATGCACAAGGTTAATATTTATTCCATTCAGCAGCACTTAACAGCTAGAATCGCTTAATGTCAGTGAGGGAAAGAGGTTCCTGTTTATGTCTTTGAGAAGGTTCAGAGTCCCAGAATGTAACATCCTACTTTATACACAGTCAATGTGGAATTATGGTTATGTGATTGTGTTATAGTGTTATTTTTGTGACTCACTTTACTGCAAAGCAAATTTACCTTTGGGTACAAATAAAGTTGAACTTGAACTTCTGACCCCCCAAAATATTATAATGGGACACCAACCCCACCCCCAATATAGTGTGTAAACACTACCCAGACATGTGCTCTTGTTTATTTCGGTCACAATGGGCGTATTCACATATTTCTTTATCCAATACTAACTGTCGGATTATCATGTTATCATGCGAACAGCGCAATTTGCAAGTGGGAAGGCGATCAGAGCTGCTTCGAGACGCAGACGCTTAAGT